GTGCCCCCATGTAGAAAACTGAGTGAGGTATTTCCCTTGACTGGTGACTGAGTTAGATAATTAAGTCTTTAAGAAGAGCTTCTTAACGGTTTGCAAAGTCAACCAAGTCTGTGGAAACTTGCCTGTTTGGGAAGGCCTGGCCCTGTAGTTGGTAAATGTTTTATTTGCTTAATGATTAGCCTTCAACATGAAATGGCATTAAAATTTGAGTATGTTTATATATTTAAATCACTCATTTTTACTAACTGTAATGCTGCTATTTTGGATTACTCTGTGTTCAGATGGAGTTAGAGTCAGCGTTGTGTCTCCTAGCGCAAATGTGTGAGCTTAACTGTAGTGCATCTACCTTGAAATGGAAATCCAGGGTCACAGCTAAGAACATTTTGGTTTTATTAGTTTCTGTTCTCCAAACAGGCCATAACAATTCAAACTCCCACCAGCAGCATCTGAGTCTTCCCTTGGCTTTTTCCTGAGGGTCCTTTCAGGACCTTTGACTTGAGTTCCCAGCAGGCAGGTCCTCCGATGTGTTGTAACAATCTGTGTCACCTGAGTTCCCAATAGATTTGCTTGTAAGTATGTCCAGAACTATGTGGCTAACTTCCTCATGGTCATTCGGGTTTTCTTCGCTCAAAGAAGAGTTCCCATGGTGAAATCTTTCCTGGAGAACTTGGCTAGTCTGATCCCAGCAATTAGCTGTCTGTTCTTGCTGCCAGAAATGAATTGGGGAGGAGGCACCAATACATCAGTTAAAAGAATCTGTGGCTCTCCACACAAATGCCAAAAACCTGACTTTAGACTTAGAAGATAAGGTTGGAGGACTCCATTCTGCCCACATCTTTGCTAATAATAATAATAGCTAATACTTGTTGAGCCTGTGGTTTATCTCATTTTCTACCCGTGTAGACCCTATGAGGTAGATAACCCCATGGCATGTGAGTTCTGTGAGTGCAGGATCTGGTCTGGACTGCTCACCACTTTCTCCTCACAAGTGTCAGGAACCTGAAAACTTATTGATTGCACCCAGGTTTTTTTTTTTAATTTTTTCTCGTACAAAAATTTATACATAGTTATGTGACCCTAATTGCTCTCCCCATAGTGTGACAGCACACTCCTCCTTTCCACCCCTGATTCCCCATGTCCATTCAACCAGCTCCTCTCTCTGCCTTCCCATCTCACTGCCAGACAGAAGCTGCCCATTTAGTCTCTTGTATCTACTTGAGCCAAGAGGCACACTCCTCACGAGTATCACTTTATGTCCCACAGTCCAGTCCAATCCCTGTCTGAAGAGTTGGCCTTGGAAATTGTTTTAGTTCTGGGCTGATAGAGAATCCAGGAGCCATGCTTTCCAGGGTTCTTCCAGTCTCAGTCAGACCATTAAGTCTGATCTTATTACTAGAATTTGAGTTCTGCACCCTACTTTTCTCCTGTTCTGTCAGGGACTCTTCTGTTGTGCTCCCTGTCAGGATGATCATTGGTGGTAGCTGGGCACCATCTAGTTCTTCTGGTCTCAGGCTGATGAAGTCTCTGGTTTATGTGGCCCTTTCTGTCTCTTGGGCTAATACTTTCCTTGTGTCTTTGGTGTTCTTCATTCTCCTTTACTCCAGGTGGTTGGGACCAATTGATGCATCTTAGATGGCTGCTTGCAAGCTTTTAAGACCCCAGACACCACTCACCAATGCAGGCTGCAGAACATTTTCTTAATAAGCTTTGCTATGCCAGTTGACCTAGATGTCCCCTGAAAGCATGGTCCCCAGATCCCTACCCTTGCTACTCTGTCCCTCAAAGTGTTTGATTGTATTCAGGAAACTCTTAGCTTTGGTTTAGTCCAGTTGTGCTGACTCCTCTGTAGTGTGTGCTGTCCTTCCTTTCACCTAAGATAATTCTTATCTACTATCTAGTTAGTGAATAACCCTCACCCTCCCTCCCCACCCTCGTAACCATCAAAGAATGTTTTGTTCTGTGTTTAAACCTTTTCTTGAGTTCTTGTAATAGTGGTCTTATACAATATTTGTCCTTCTGTGACTGACTAAATTCACTCAGCATAATGACCTCCAGCTTCCTCCGTGTTATAAGATGTATCACAGCTTCATCATTGTTCTTTATCATTGTGTAGTTTTCCATTGTGTGGATATATCATAATTTGTTTATCCATTCGTCTGTTGATGGGCACCTAGGTTGTTTCCATCTTTTTGCTATTGTGAACAGTGCTGCAATGAATATGGGTGTACATATATCTATTTGCGTGATGGCTCTTATTTCTCTAGGATGTATTCCGAGGTACTTCTATTTCTAGCTTTTTAAGGAAGTGCCAAAGCAATTTCCAAAGTGGGTGTACCATTGTACATTCCCACCAACAGTGTATAAGTGTTCCAGCCTCTCCACAACCTCTCCAGCAAGCATCCAGGTTTTTAACTACGATTAGAACATCTGCCAACAGAAAATTTCCTCATTCTATTAACTGGATATAGCCACAAAGGCTGACTGATCAGATGCATTAAGACAAAAGTGGCTGGTGTTTCATGATGGGAAAGTAACTATCAATCCTTGCTTCATTCATCCCTTCCTCCACTGCTGACTGAAAGGTTGGAAATTGCAGTTTACCCAGAGGCGACTCCGTTGATTGAGAACCCTATGGAGCACAGGTCTACTCTGACATATATGGGGTCCCCATGCGTCAGAAGGGACTCCATGGCAACTGATATTGGTGCTGATTGAGGCCTGGGAGTAAGAAGATTGAGCTCTGAAGAGACTGGGATGTAGACCTGGATTTGGTAGGCCCTAGGTTAGGAGTATGGAGCCCCGGTAGCTCAGTGGTTAAGAGCTTGGCTGCTAACCAAAAGGTCATCAGTTTGAATCCACCAGCTGCTCCTTGGAAACCATATGGGGTGGAATCCACTCTACTGGAAGGCAATGGGTTTTCCTTTTTTTTTTTTTTTAATACCTGTGGAAGTAATCCCATTTGGGAATGGGTTTTCTTTCTTTGTTATATTAATGAGCCCATGTCAGTGTAGGGTGTTTTAAGGCAAACACCTTTGAAATGGAGCAGATAGGCCCAGAAGAGCAAGCACAGATGATACATACCACATCACCATGAGTCAGAATCAACGGACAGCCAAGGATTTGGTTTTGGTTTTGATTAGGAGTTAGGAGCTCTGGTGGTGCAGTGGTTAAGCACTCATCTGCTAACCGAAGGGTCCGTGGTTGGAGCCCACTAGCTGCTCTGCAGGAGAAAGACATGGCAGTCTGCTTCTGTAAAGATTAAACCAAAAAAAAAAAAAAACCAAACCCACTGCCGTGGAGTCAAATAATCCCCATAGGGGAGTTCTACCCAGTCCTATAGGGTCACCATGAGTCTGAATCAACTTGATAGCAATGGGTTTGCGGTTTTTTATTTTCGTTTAGATTAGGGATAAAGTCCCTTACTGTCACAAGCAGTTTGTGACAGGCTATTTGGTGGTTCCAGCCAACCCAATGGCACCTCAGAATTAAGGCCTGGCAATGTGCTTCCATACGGAGCCCTGGTGGCACAATGGTTAAGTGCTCCACTGCTAAACGAAAGATTGGCAATTTGAACCCCCGCAGTGGCTCCGCAGGAGGAAGACCTGGCCATCTTCTCACATAAAGATATAGCCTAGAAAACCCTATGGGGCAGTTATACTCTGTCACATGGGGTCCCTAGGAGTCAGAATCAACTCTATGGCATCTAACAACAACAACGGTCGGCTTCCAGAAAAGATTACAGCTGAGGAAACTCCACGAAGCACTGAGAACCATATGAAGCCCAGTTCTCCTCTGACACGGGGTCGCCATGAGTCGGAGTGGACTGGAAGGCAAGGGGTTTGGGTCCTTTTTGGTTTGGATTAGTAGTGGTTTAGGATTGACTAATTCGTTCATTCTCCCAAGTATTTGAGACTCTTCCTAAACTAAACCGTGGGCAGACTGCGGGCAGCACATGGTGACATAAAAGGTCGGAAAGAGGCTCCCAGCCTGGGACAAACGGGGGCCTTCCTGCAACATGGCGCACGACCAGAGAACTGGTATGCGTGGGTCGCTACGCCGAGTCACCCAGCCCCCGGAATTGAGGACCCGGGGCTCCGCGTGGGCCGGGCCGCGCCCAGAGTTTCCCGCCCAGGCCCACAGCCCCTTCTCCGGCTCTGAGTCACGGCGGGAGAAGGGCGCGACAGGCAGGCGTC